CACACACACACACACACACACACACACACACACACACACACACACTTGTGTATATATATAATATCGCACGCATACACACATACACACTGATGTTATTCAACGATAAAGTACTCTTTTATTATCATTATGTAGTTGATTTATGTGCTGCTATTCCTATACCTAATATTGAGTCGTTTTTTATAGCATTTAATTCTTTCCATCCACGACTTCAATTTACTTCAGAAATGGGTGGAGAATCATTGAATTTCTTAGATATCACAATGGTTATTAAAAAGAATCGGCTAATTTTTTATTGTATCATAAACCCACTCTTTCGGACAAATATTTAAATTTTCATTCTAATCACCCGTCTTCTCAAAAGAAGAACTTCATTTTTGGATTAGTAAACAAAACACTCCTAAGGTAAATGTCCCAGTTTGCGACCATGACCCTGTTTGTGACCACTTTAAGACTTATATGTAATTAATCAGAAATTTCAAGTAATTTATCTCTGAAAACAATATTTATTGCGTTTTTCAATTAATAATCCATCGTTTTGATATGTGATGTAGTGATATTTGGTAAACAGATAACTCATGAAAATGTGAAATAAGGTGCCCGTATCGACATTAAGTGCAGATCGAGCACGTTGTTGTCGCCACGTTGGTAGACATGGCGTTTGTCACGGCAAAGTCATAGCTGTGTCATATTGTCGTAGACAAACGTTCATAAACAGTTTTTGTGATAAAGTTTTAGTGAACAAGTGAATAAATATTGTGCTATGTGTGAATTCTGAAAAAGGTTGGTAATTTTTAGTATATAAGTGAATATGACAAATCGGTTCAATAAAACATGCATGTTTCTATCTGTGATTGTCTCAAGAGAACTAGCTATAACATTAAATTTCGTTGCTTTTTTCAAAAAGATAACAATTAATACTCATCTCCATATGTTTCTAAACACGTATGAGTTACATTTTGGACGAATAAACGGAAATATTCGATGTATGCTCGAAGGAAAATTTTGGTGACAATGCTATCACTTTTGGCTAGGTCACTTACAATGGACATCGTGTGTATTGCATCATGTGCGTCGGTCACTAAGTGATACATGGTGATACATTCGATCCAATGCACCAGTCACTAACCGTGGAGTCACAAATAGGGCAAAATTAAAATCAAGCGGTCACTAATGTCTACATTTACATAGTTTGCTATTTATTTTTTTATATTTATTAGATTATGTTTACAACCCCAGTAAAGCATGTTTTTCGATACAAAAATGATTAATCTTGAGTATAATTGATTCCTGATTTTAATCACTCTAGAGTATTTTTCATTCGTATTAACTCATGCGATTTTCTTATAAGGTCACAAACTGGGACATTTACCTTATTGTCAGATAAAGTTTTTAATGTAAAAAATATCAATCTGGTAATTATTATTTTGATTGAAAACGATTATCCTTTTAAATTTATTTTTGATAATGTTAACATCAGAATTAAGAACATCGAACATGGCAAAGTTTCGCGAACTATTGAAAATAAATTATTCCAACGTGGTTCACAGTACCTTTTATGCCTACTTTAACTGAAAAATTCAAACATTTTAATAAGGACATCAGAGTTTCTTTCTTTAGGACTAACAAATTGCGAAAA